AAAAACACGAATTTATTTTTTACCTGGTTTTGCTTTTGTGCTAACTGGGGCCTGGAGTGAAACAGTGCTAACCCCACCTTGGTTTCTTCTTTCTTCGGCTAATGCTTGGGCCGCAGCAACTGTTAAGAAAAAATAGATCTGGTTGAAAACAAATCTGTAATTCACACAACCGTTGTTGTTTGGATTACACTGCTCAAATCTTGATTTTTGCACAGGAAACTCTCCCCAAATCCATGTTCTGACCCAGGCTTCGTCCAAGTTAAGGAAACACAAATTGAGTGTAAAATCAAACCTATTTTAATGCAAGTCTGGGAATTTCTTGCATTCCCGGCCAAAACTCATTAGACACAATTCCCTGAGATAAGCTCACACCTTTCAGGGTTGTAGAAAGCTGCCAAGAAACAAAAGCCCAATTACTAGAATATAAACCATCAGAAGTTCCAGCAAAGACAAACCAGAGCTCACAGGGCTTCAATGAGGAATCAGAATCTAATGAACTTCTTTGCTTCCTGCAAAGTTCACGTCACCAAGGGCTGACTTTTATCCCTTATGGGAGGGGCAATCACTTTCCAGACTTACTCCCGAGTCGCCCCCTCTGCTTCAGCCGCTCTTTCCTTCTAGCAGCTCTGCGCACACGCGTACTGGGAACAGGCTCCCCTGGGTCCTCTGCTTCACTGCTGCTAGACTCCGAAGGCAGCACCCCACTCCCAGATGGTCCTGGCCCAATCCCTGCATTGGATGCAGGACCCTCGTCCAAGTCCTCCTCAGACTCCCGGACTGGTTCCCTTTTGTCCTCACTGTCGGATACTTCTACCGTCTGCACTGGCTGCCGGTGAACCACAACAATCCAGAGTTTATGGCCACGAATTCCACCATCTCTGAACTGTAGCTATTCTTTTGAATCAATCTCGACCAAAAGTTTAAGACAATCACATAGTACTGTGGTTTCGATTAAACAGTTCTGGAAGCACCGAATATACCACAATATCTATTCACTACATATATACACCCACCCACCCTTTTTTTTCCATTCCTGGGTCACTAGGAAGAAAAGCATACAGTTCTCTTTGGGGAATCTGCCACAAATTCCACATTTGTATCATATTATGTACCCAAGCACTCAGGACTAAAAACCTTGCGTAGTGGACCACACTCGAAAACAACCACCCCTGTATGAAATTATGAAGAGCAATGGACTGAGTTCACGCTCCGTCTGTTTTTAAGGTTCCCATTTCAAATCAAGCATTCCAACTTCACTCCCAGCATGCAGTCCAAACATAAAACAGCTGCACAACACTGGAAGATGAAATGACAAGTTTCAATCCATTAAAAGAGGTGGCACTAATGGACAAGGGAGATACGCAAGCAGAGTGGAAAAACCCTGTTTGAAATTTTGAGAAGGCAACACGGAGCAGATAATCACTAGTTGCTGTTTTTCTTGAATTTTCACATTTGTCAAGTAATTTGAGCACTTTAAATCAGGCGTGTTCAACTGTGGCAACTTCAAGACTTGTGGACTCCAACTCCCAGAGTTCCCCAGCCAGCTGGCTGGGGAATTCTGGGAGTTGAAATCCACGGATCTTAAAAGCACTGTCCTAAGTGAATTCCCTTTCCAGATCTGCCTTTGTCCAGAGGAGGAAATTCACTCAACTTCTGTGAAAACAAAAAGAGGGGAAGTAGAACAGCTTGTATTTTCATACCGAGTTCCTTTGTGGGGGCACAAGAGAGCGAAAAATATTCAAAGGTAGCTCTGGAGACCTGCTGAAACAATACCGCTTCTTTGAAGCGACCAAAATAAGCCCAACCAAAATAAATCTCATTTCTCATTTTGTGGTCGTTCAACTTTCATGTATTTGATGCAAAAATCTTACAACGCACCAGTATTAAAATGCCAAGTCCCAACTATCTGAACTTAAAAAGAGAGATCCCACGCAACATGACTTCAGTTTTAATTCATAACATGAACTGCAAAGATTTGCTGGAAGCTCATTTTTAACTTCACTGGGTGATTTGGGGCTGGCCATTCTCAGGCCAACCTAGAGTCAAAATATTATTAATAAGGGAAGAGGGTACTATAGATATTGCTTGCAGCTCCTGAATGAAAGGAAGTATATAAATCTAATAAATAATATCTCCCTGCTAAATGTGCCCAGATGCTCGTTACATCGAGGACAAAGCAACAAGGACGTTTTGTGAAAACAAGGATTTTTTTTTTTAATTTCTTGCACTCTGTTCCTGAGATGCAATATTCGCTTCCTGTTTTCATGTTCCCGCCTTCCTTTTCATCATTCTCTCACTTTGTCTGACTTCCCAGGGGGATGAGGATATGGAAGTGGGTTCTCTTTCTCTCCTCCCACTTATAGGAAAACCCACTGGAACCTTTTTCCTTAAGTGCTGTTTGTTCCCCGGTGTCCAGGCACACCGCTGCTGAATGTGCCTGGCTCCACTGCCCCAACCCCAAAACCTTGTGACAATAGAGCCCAGCACCGCGTATCACAACGGACACCAGCCCACTCCATCACCCGATAATGCTTCTATTATGTGGGATTAATTTTAACCCCTGATCCTCTTTGTTTCTTGATAAGCCAGTTTCTTCTTATGTCTCCGGTCGGGCAATAGAACGTTACAGCTCAAACTGTCATTGCGGTTTAATTTTCTATGCTGTTTCTTCAAAAATGACGCTGAATAGAATAGAATAGCAGAGTTGGAAGGGACCTTGGAGGTCTTCTAGTCCAACCCCCTGCTTAGGAAACCCTACACCACTTTAGACAAATGGTTGTCCAATCTCTTCGTAAAAACTTCCAGCCTTGGAGCATTTACAACTTGGACCACTGCTATCATGTCTCCCCTGGTCCTTCTTTTCATCAAACGAGACATGCCCAGTTCCAGCAACTGTTCTTTATATGTCTTAGCTTCCAGTCCCCTAATTCTCTTTGTGGCTCTTCTCTTCTAGAGTCTCAACAACTTTTTTACATCGTGGCGATCAAAACCGTATGCAGTATTCGAAGTGTGGCCTTACCAAGGCATTATAAAGAAATGGGAACGAGGTAGGAATATCTATACTGAGACATACTTATGAGACATGGGTGAATCTTCTGTTTGACCAGCTGGACCAGTTTCTTCACAGTTTAACAGGGGCTACTTATTCCAGAAAGATAAAAATCATTGTTCTTGGTTAGCTGCAGTATGCAACATGCGATCGCCTCCCCTTATGCTTTGCAAGCCGTTGTCTAGGCTCTTTTGCAGTTTGCTTGCAAAGTTAAGAGATCTGAGCAACGGAATAACACAGCCACTGCTTCAATTCCATCCCACACAAGTAGGCAGCGACCCGTACGAGAACCAAAAGGCTCTGCCCTACATTATTTCACAAACTCACTCTGAGGCTATTAATGAAATTAAAAAAAGACCCCCGGGGTTAACCAAACCCGAACTTTTTCATCACACGCAGTTTCGCCAAAGTCTTCATGGAAATTAATATCATTCCCCTTCATTTCTCACAGGAGACTTAAAAAAAAAAAGTTCTTTTTCCAATTTGTTCGTCTGTCGCCAAGTCTTTCCAGATTTGAAAAAGAAGGGCTGGACTCGATTTAAGGCCCGAAGGCAGGAATAAAACCACAATGGAGGCACAGCCATCCATGCTTCCCTGTTTCAAACCCTGACACCTTAATCCAATTAGGGTTAAGCGCAGGTCCAAAGCAGCGGCGGCAGCAGCCTCCACATCGCACAATTAACAAGTATAAAAGCAACATTAATAAGCTCATCAGAAGGCAAAACGGTAGCCTTAGGGAAAAAGTCTTCCCAACCCCCTGGTTAGCATCCCAGACACTAACTAGGTGGTAAAGGATGAGGCCTTCTCCTGTACAGGTAGTCCTCGGCTTACAACCACAATTGAGCCCCCAAATTTCGGTTGCTAATTGAGACATTCAAGAGTTTGCCCCATTTTATGACTTTTCTTGCCATGGTTGTTAAGTGAAGCACTGCTGTTGTAAGTTAGTAACACGGTTGTTAAGTGAAGGTGGCTTCCCCATCGATTTTGCTCGTCAGGTCGCAAAACGTTGGGGACACAGCGACCGTCGTAAGTAGGAACCAGATGCCAAGAATTTTGATCAAATGATCGTGGGGAGGCTGGGAACATTTTAAGCGGGATAAACCGGTCATAAGTGCCTTTTTTTTTCAGTGACCGGTCACTAAATGCACCGTTGTTAAGTCGAGGAACACCTGTATTTAGGTGGAAAGGTACAGGGGCCGTGCACCACTGGATCTGAAAGCGAAACGATGCTTCAGGGTATGGATACCTGCCTGCCACTCTCCTGAAGACACACCTTTCCTGGAAGAGCTCAGCTCTCTTTCACGCTGCTAGAAGCCATAAAAAAAAAAAGAAGAAGAGCTACACACAGGTGTGATGCTTGCAACTCCAGTACTCTGAAGCACCTTTCACCCTCTTTAAGTGCCTAATATTGCACAACACAAATCATCACAGTCTTGGGCGATCAGAAAGTACAGACAGACTTATTCTTTCAATAGTTCCCTTTTCAAGACATCTAAATCGGGCCATTCTACACCTCCTGGCCAAACAAAGCGAAGCTTCAAAAGACGGCCAGATATTTTCTGATCAAAATATGGCGCTCAGGCGGTTACGCCCCGCGGCTGAAGTGAGACGGTGCCTCGCAGGGCTAAAGACCCTTGCAAACTAAGATCCAGTCTGATCTTCCGGGAAATCAGGGATGTGGCAAGAAAAGGAATTAGTCAGCAACTCTCCCTCCTTCTCCATATTAATTGATAAGTAAAGGGGGGTTCGGCTTTAATCTGGCAGGAATGAAACTGTACCCCAAATGCTGCAATTTCTAAACAAACCTGGAAAACCAGAAATAATCCAGAAATCCATAAGGTGGGAGAGAGGAGATGGTGTACGTAGCTTATCTATCTATCTATCTATCTATCCATCCATCCATCCATCCATCCATCCATCCATCCATCCATCCATCCATCCATCATTTCTCTATCGCTCTAATCTCTCATCTACCCATCCATATCTATATCTCTCATCTGTCATCTATCTCTCATCTATCTATCTATCTATCTATCTATCTATCTATCTATCTATCTATCTATCTATCTATCTATCATCTATCCCTCATCTCTCTCATCTATCTCTCATCTTCTATCTATCTATCTATCTATCTATCTATCTATCTATCTATCTATCTATCTATCTTTCTTTCTTTCTTTCTTTCTTTCTTTCTTTCTTTCTTTCTTTCTTTCTTTCTTCTCTCTCATTTCTCTCTCTCCATCATCTCTCTCATCTCTCTATCAGTTTTTCTCACTGCATCAGAGGAAAAAAAGAGTGGATGCAAACAGATTTCCAGATGCTTTTTTTTTTTTTAACAGCCAAGGATATTTGGGGGAGGGGGAACGATTAAGCGGCAAGACCTCCAGATCTCCTCTGGATCTCCTAAAAAACCGCAAAGGTTTCTTTTGTCCACAAAATAAAGAGAAGGAAAGTGGAGGGACGGAGGGAGGGAGGGAGGCCAGGCGGAAGAGGAGGCCCTTCAAGCCAAGAAAAAGGGAACCTCCAGCATTTTGCACTGGAGGGGAGATAAAGAGGGCTGAGAAATGAGGTTGGGAAAGAGGAAGGAGGGAGGGGATGAATGACTAAGGGGGGGGGGGTTGGAAGGGATGGGGGGAAGAGCCCTGAATTTGGGGTAAGGGACCCGAGGTTGCCTGGGATGATAAAATGGAGAGAAATTAGGATTAATGAGTATAATTAGGAATAATAAGGGGTGGTGGGCATTTCAAGGGAGAAATTGGGTGGGATGAAAAAGGGAGGTGTCAAATTAAGGCATTTGGGGACTCCCTCTCCCATGAGTCCCCTCCTAAGCCAGCTTCCCAGAAGTGTCTCACTACAAGCCCCATCAGGCACTCCAAAGACTCATTATTCCCCCCACCCTATCCCAGAGAGACCCCTCCCCAGGCCTTGTGAAGGCATCTGCCCTCAACTATCCAAAGACTAACACCCCCCCCCCAAAGCTGGGCTCGATTACAGCCCCCACCCCCGGTCCTCATGAGCTAACAGGATGATGGGTCCTGTAGTCCAGCCGCTTGGACTCCATAAAGACCCATAACCCCCCTCCTCCCCTCCCCATCCCATCCCAGGTAGACTCCCCCTCCCAACCCTTGTGGAGGCATCTGCCCCCAGCCCCAGGTTCAATTACAAACCCCTCCCGCAAGGATGATGGGCTCTATAGTCCACCCAACTTAGGGCTCCAAAAAGACCCATAATCCCCCATCCTGTCCCAAATAGAGCCCCCTCCCCCAGGCCTTGTGGAGGCATCTGCCCACAGGCCAATCCCCACCCCCCACACCAGCCAGGCTGAATTACACCCCTCACCCCCTAGGATGATGGGTCTTGTAGTCAAGGCCAGGGCAGTAGAACCCAGAGAGGTGCATGGGGGGGGGAATTGGGGGCAGGGCTGAGGAGATCGGAAGAGGGGAGGGGGCCACCCCCCCCATTAGCAAAGAGGCCAGGGAGAGTTTTAGGGGGTAAAATTGGGGGTGAGGGCGGGGGGGGTCTCACCCATCTGCTCCCGCAGCCCCTTCAGGGTCGAGGGAGGCGGCGTGGGGACCCCGGGAGGAGCCCCTCCGCCGCTCCCCTCCGCCATCTTCGCCCCCGAGAGGCGGACCGGAGCCTCGTTCGCCCCACACGCCGGCAAACCCTCCTCCGCCTCCCGAGGCGCCGCCGCCGCCTCAGGCCGGTGGCGCGGAACTGCCGAAGGGACGCGGGGACGACGGCGGGCGCGACGGCGCAGGCGCGGCGCGAGGCCACGCCCCGGAGCCCTTTCGCCGGCGGGGTGGACGGGGGGGGGGGGAAAGAGCTGAGGATGAGGAGAGCGCATGCGTGTCCCGTCTCCCCCACGTCCCCCCGTCCCCCCCGCGGCTCGGGGACCTTCGCCTCAGGGCAGGTGGGGGAAACGAGCCCAACGACGCGCGTGCGCGTAGCGGCTCGCTTGAAGTTGGGCTTCCTTGGTCACCGGTTCGATTCCCGTTTTCTCCATGAACCTTTTGGGATGCTCCATCCTTGGTCTTCTTTAAGGATATTTTATTAAGGATAATAAAGGTTATTAGGTGATTATATTATTATATAGGTTATTGTATATATGTCATACACACACACATGATTTAAATGTGGTTTTATATTATGTAAGCACACAATACACAATAGATGGATGCTTGCTAAGCCCTAACCCACAATGGCTTGATTTTGCTTATCGAAGGTGGTCTGGATAGGTTGCCAACAGGTGATTGCATGATCCTGGCATGTTGCAACCTTCCTAAATGCCTTCCAATTGCCAAGTGCCTGAAAATTGGTCATGCGAAGGTTGCAATGGTCATAAGTGTGAGGACCAATCATAAGTCCCTTTTTTTCTGTGCTGTTGCAACTTTGGTCACTAACTGAACTGAACTGAAGAAGCTTCTTGGATGAGAAGCAAAATGTTTTCAAAGCAAAAAACAAAACAAAACCAAGAAAGTCTGGTTGCCTTTTGCAAAAAAAAAAAACCCTTCGTAGCCTGAATGATTGAGAAGTCATAAATGAACAGTAAGCTAGAGGATATCTGTATTTATTTTTTATTTAATAGATTTTTAAAAATTCCACTTTTATTCCTTTCTAAATAACTCAAGGTGGCAAACATACCTAATTCTCTCCCCTCTTTCTGGTTTTTCCATCACAACGATCCTGTGAGGTAGGTTGGGGGAGAGAAAGAGAGAGACAGAGAGAGACAGAGAGTCAAAGAGCAAGAGACACACACACACAGAGAGACAGACAGAAAGAGAGTCAGAGAGGGAGAGAGACAGAGAGGAGGGAGACAGACAGAGAAAGAGACAGAGAGACAAAGAGAGAGAGAGAAACAGAGAGGCAGAGAGAGAGAGAGACATAGAGAGAATCAGAAAGAGAGAGAGACAGAGAGGAGGGAGACAGACAGAGAAAGAAAGAGAGAGAGAATGAGAGAGAGACAGAGAATCGAAGAGAAAGAGAGAAGCACACATACAGAGAGAGAGAAAGAGAGGGGGAGGGAGAGAGATAGAGAAAGAGACAGAGTGAGAGAGAGAGAGAGTCAAAGAGAAAGAGACACAGAGAGAAAGAGGGGGGGGGAGGGAGAGAGGCAGAGAAAGAGTGAGAGAGAGACAGACAGACAGAGAGAAATTGGAGCTGGCCCAAAGTAAATTGACGTTAAGGTTCCTCCCTGCAAGAGGTTGTCCCTTCTGGCTGCCTGGCATTTGGGCATCTCCCATCTCTTTGGGCTGGACGTGCTGCGGGGAAGGACAATCTTTCGGTGGTGTCGACCTCCTTATAAAAAGGCTCATTCTTCACCCCCAGTTCCAGCTGAACCGGAGGGAGGCTTTGTGGAGGCACGTCGCTCCCTTCCTCCAAAGCCGGTTTTGTTCACTGCCATAAAAGAGGCATCTGTGTCAACCAACTCCCCAGAATTTTCCTCCTTCCTTTCGATTCTGAGATTCGCCTTGGACGTTCAACGCATCAGAGAGAACCTTTTAAATTTATTATTGGGGCATCCCAGGCTTTGCACACTTCCAGTTTTACCTTCTTCAGCACTTGCTGCCTTATTTTTACACATTTGTCTTTTGCACCAGCCCAGCAGAAGAAAATAAGTGTTTGGCTCACACTCCATCAGTGGGAGGAAAATAAAAATAAAAATCCAGGCTCAATTGTTGCTGGTTGCCGGGCCTTCAAAATTAAAACGACGGTCCCAAATCTTGCTATATCTATATCTATCTATCTATCTATCTATCTATCTATCTATCTATCTATCTATCTATCTATCTATCTCTCTGTCTCTCTCTCTCTAGCTATATCTCTAGCTATCTATCTCTATATAACTCTCTCTCTCTCTCTTTCTCTCTCTCTCTCTTTCTCCACACACACACATAAATCCATCACAGTCGAATGAAATGCAGTTAGCTTGACCAAAGAGAATGGAAGTGAATCATGTATTTGGCATCTCAAGGATTTTGCTTTTTACAGAATGTTAGAAGCGTTCTTGGCTTTTGGGGAGAAAAAATTTCTCAGGATTTCTTGGGAGACAGAGAGGAAAAAAATGGCATTAGGACCTACTACACCCCCAGTCTCAAGTGGTTTTCCTCCAGGAACAAACCCATGGTTTGCAAAAGCTGATAGGCAGAAACCAGTTCATGCAAGAAACATAGTTTAACTGCAAGAAATATGGTTTAATTGCAAGAAACATGGTTTGATTGCAAGAAACATAGTTTGATTGTAAGAAACATAGTTTAATTGCAAGAAACATAGTTATTGCAAAAAAAAAAACATATTTTAATTGTGATGTTTTTCGACATCTTCCTTTGCTCTAAATTGCACTGCGACCATCAAAATTCTTGGAGAAATATGTTGCATTTTCGGTGGCTTTTTCATTTCATGTCCGCGAGCGGCCGCAATGCTTATCGTCTCCTCTCTGCCTGCTGGTTTGCCAGTTGAGATTCAATAATACGACTGCCTCATGAAGGGCTGTGACTGAAGGAAGCATTGCAGGCTGGAATGAAATCACGTTCAAAGAAGGAACATCTGTCGAACAACAGAGTCCTAATTGCTCAAAATGTTAGAATAGCATCTCGAATTGCACACCAATATTCCCTATTGTAGTTTTGAGCTGAACCCCCAAATTCCTACCGGCAGAGTTTGGCACATACAGAAGGTTGGAAAAAAAAACTGGCCTTACAAACCAAACAGTTCACCATGGGCCGAATTTAATGGTAAAATAATTCAGAGGTTCGTTTTAGCAGAAATTCTAGGCTAAATGTCTATTCTTATGAAATATCCCAATTATATTTGGCTCTCAGGAATGCCTTAAAAGATGCTTCACTTTGGATTTTGACAATTGTGGGTGATTGCTATAAGACATGGCTAGTAGTTACTTTTTGGCATAACTAAAAGGTTGATACTAGATCTTTATTATGTATCTTACTGAATGGAAAAAATCTGAAGTCACTGCTTTTCGATTCTTTTTTAATAATTTTTTTCCTCCCTCCCTCTATCTTTCCCATCCCCTTTCCTTTCTCACTTTCCCACTGTCTTTCTTTCCATTTGTAGCTTACATTAATAAAAGAAACTGTTAATAAAAATGTATTTTCTTTAAAAAAGATAGTGTTCTCCTTCTTTGATCTGGGTTGTGCAAAAGAGAAAGAGAGAAAGAGAGAAGGAGAGAGAGAAGGAAGGAGAGAGAGAGAGAAAGCGAGAGCGGGGAGAGGGAGAGAGAGAAAGAAAAGGAGAAAGAGAGGGAGAGAGAAAGAGAGAGGAAAAAAAAGAGAGAGAAAGAGAGAGAGAGGCAATTTTTTCCTGGCTCAAAGTTCCAGCTGTGCAGCTAATAAAACTCATATATCTTTGAAAAGCTGCAATATTTTGGCACGACAGTGACTCCCAGAGGAAGTGTGTAAAAACACTTATTCCTGGACACACCAGCCAGATTTCTGCAGCAGACGGAGAAGGAACGCTTGAGTCGAATCCCGATAGATGGAATTCGATGGAAATTTCCCGTGGCTTGCTATAAAACGACGGCATTTTTTCCTCACAGCCGCGAATTCCACAGTCTTTAACGGAGTGTCCAGGCCCAATGAATAATAATGCAGTAATAATAATGTAGTAAGATAGTTGTTCTGCCTTCCAAAGTCTCAGGGATAAACTTTAGGTACCCGAAACAACGCCCTCTCCATCCATCAGCTGAAAAATCCAGAGAGAATTCCAAGTCATAAAATTCAAATGAAAATGACGCTGCCTGAATTCTAACAAAGTTAAAGAAAAAAAGGGAGCTCGTAACTCTTTTTTAAATTAAAAAAAAAAAAGTGGAAAATTAAGCCTGGTTGTGAAATTGGAGTTCGGCTCTTTTTCCTTTTGATTGTTCTTCCCACCCCAACGAAAGTATGGGGAGTCCTCGAGTTACGACCTCAATTAGGAATCGAACTTCCATTGCTAAGCAGCGGGGCTATTAAGCGAGCCAGTTGCCCAATTTTATGACTTTTGGGTTGTTGTTTTTTTTGCTACTGTCGTTAAGTGAATCCAGCTTCTCCCATTGACTCTGCTCGTTGGAAAGGGTGATCCTGCAATCGTCGTAAATGCGAGCCAGTTGCCCAGTGCCTGGATTGCCAGCACATGAACGCAGGGATGCGGCGATGGTCATAAGTGCGAGACTTTTTTCAGTGTCACTGTCACTTTGAACAGCCGCTAAAAATGGCTGTGTCAAGAACTACCTGTGTATGAGTGTCGCAACTCAATTTTTGCAGAAGGCTCCCACATTTCCTAGTTCCAGTAGCATTTCCCCAACCTTTGTTTAACATTTTTCTCCATCAGTGGCTGTGAAAAAAAAAGTCCCTGAATTCAATATTTTTATTTACTTATTTTTTTTATTTAAATGATTTGCCAATCGCTTAAAAGACCCAAAATTTCAAGCCTGGTGGTATAGGGTATTCCGTAAAGACTCATAGGCATATGAACAATTTTCCGTACAAAATCTGTGTTCCCATTCCCGTGTATGATTGCATTATGCTAATCTAATCTTTGTTCTGCCTTTCTAGCAAGATTAGATTTTATGATCCAATAAATTATTACAATTTCCAAGGCACTGAAAGTTCTAAAGCTCAGAGTTCAGTCATGCTAATCACTCCTAGCCAATAAACCCAGTTCTGGGGTTGTGCTTCTCTTTAAATGTATTCCAAGTTTGCTTCAAATCAAGGAAACCTTCAAGTTTCTAAGC